CTGACGTGGCCGCGAGGGGTGTAGACTTCCCCCAGGTAGAGCTAAGCCCAGGTTGTCCACTATCCACTCAGTGTCTTCCCTCAGGTCGATTGGGTCATACAGATGGACGCTCCTGATACCGCAGACACCTACATTCACCGGGTTGGGAGGACAGCACGCTTCGACAGGAACGGCAATGCTCTAATGTTCGCAACTGAGGTAGGAAACAGCAGCAGTGTCTTGGACGATGATGCTGGCGTCCGCATGTAGGTCGAAGAAGCATCCCTTCTACCCGAGCTCGCCCAGAAGAAGGTGGATGTGCGTGTGACCTCCATCAACAGGAGAAGGATGTTCAATGTACTGTGTAGCACCTTAGCACGATATTGTCGCCTAATACGGCCCTATTCAGATCACTGGTAAATTACAGAGTCTCCTGGCGTCAGAGCCTGACGTGAAGCACCTTGCTGTTAAAGCCACTCAAGTAGGCATTCCTGCATACACTTTGTTTACACGTGGGTCAGGTGTATGCGAGGGCGGTAGCTCTGACTGGGAGGACTAGGCTTACAGAAGATGAGGTGGCAGCCTATGCTCACAGCCTGGGTGGGTATAGTGATGATAGTCGGTGTGTGAGGGGACTTTGCTAGGACTGCATGAAGCCCCTCCGATAACGTTGCCTACTCAAGAGGAAGTGACCAGTAGAAAGAAAAAGAAGAATATGTCTAAGCTGGAGGTAGTGATGAGGAGTGAGGTCCAGAGAAACACCCTTTTCCGTTTGTGGCAAGAATTTTGAAGTCCACTGTTATTCGAGCTCTGGTGATTATCGATTCAAGAGTAGTGCTGTTAGCCTCTCGTTATGAGCTGCCTTCTTCTCTCGCTCAGCGACTGAAGGAAAAGATTCGGCAAAAGAAGTTGGCTAAGAAGCAGAAGGAGATGAGTGGAGATGTGGGGAAGGATGATGATGATGATGATGACGGTGGCTGGGGTCAGCTGGAGGAGGACCTACAAGACAAGAAAGGTACTGCACCCACTAGACCAAATGGAATGAATAGTGATGCCTCTACCTTACCTGGTCTCTTGCTGATCGTAGGAGCTTGAGATTAGTAGATCATAGTAGTCGTATCACCATGAGATGCCGATAAAGCTGTTCGTGATCAGCCACGAAGCTGTCCAAATTCGAGCGCCGACAGAAGCGACAACAAGAGCTCTTCGCCACCCAAGGTCCGGAGGATGAGGGAGCTGCTGCAGAGGAGGATGATGATGACGATGTGTTGGTAGGCGGCAGTAGCATGGGCAGTGTGGGCCCTGTTGATATTACTGGCATTACGCATAGGTTACTGTGAACAAGGAGAGTGATGTCTCTGCTGTAGAGGAGGAACCTGCGACCCAAGCTGAGGCACGAGCTCGGGATGCTGTTAAGAGGGGTCGACTGCGTGTTAGGAAGGACGGTAGGAGGATGAGGGATGGTCTGTGATGTGAACAGCTATTACAGTGTGGACTGAATCGTTATGCGAACTACAGTCATTCAATTTTGGGGGTTCGAAAGTCGACTTTTAGTGACATCAACGTGATAACAATGCGATTCGACTATAGTGTGGGAATATATGCGCGCATGGGCAACTACATGACAATATGAGGAGCTCTGAGGAGTGGTGTAGGTACAATGTATGTGAGGGGTACGGGTGGCCTTGGTAAGAATCAGCACATGACCTTTGACGAGAGTGGTGACGAAGGGTCGGATAATGAGGAGGATGAAGATGCTGATGAGGAGAGTGCTGCTGCTGCTAAGCAGGCCTTCATAGAGTCGATGAGGCAGAAGGTGGAGGAGAGGGAGGAGGAGGATAAGAGGTTGATGAAGGAGAAGGTAAAGGGTAGGGGAGAGGCCTGAGTATAGCAGATGAGGACAGGTACGGGAGAAGCATCGTAAGATCAAGGAGAAACTACGTCGGAAGAAGGGTGATGATGCTGATGAGGAGGATGAGGACATGGGAGCTGTACTAGCAAGTCCAGATGACCATGATGAGAATGGAGAAGATGAAGGGTAGGGCGTGGTTTAGTAGGTGTCACTAGGAAGTGTGCTCAGGTCATCATTGGAGCCCTCACCTAAGCGACAACGAGGGGAGGTGGCTGATCTCGAGGAGGAGGCTTTGAAGGTGTTGGGTTAGATGCTACTGTTATCAACGTAAAACTAAACGTCATTATTAGTGTAGAATAATAATACTCTTGCTGTTGCTGCTACTAGTACTACTCTTAATACCACTCCTTATCAAGTTCCTATCTGAAACTGTATCTACGTCACTAAGCATGCGTGTTGAATTAGTCCATAGTGGGGCTCCCAGGGGATAAGTAACACTTGTTCGAACACAGCTTGCAGAGCCTCAATGTGAACATGGACGGTTCCGAACTGACAGGCAAGCTTGAAGAATTTTACACGATCATCACTGTAGGGGGGACGGTGGTGTGACGGTAGTTGCACAGTGCACGTACGCGTCGTTGCTTATCTTGATTCTATTGCTACCATCTTGAACTCAAATGACGGCGCCCACTGTCGAGGGTTCGGAATATCGCGAAGCAGTCACCGTTCATAAGAACATGTGAGTATTGGTGCTGGTGATGGCGATCTTCTTGTTCTCTTCTGCCAAGGTTGGCATGTGGTAGCGCTATGGCCTTCACTGTTGCTTTGCTCAACCCGATGGACGTCATAAAAGTTGCCATGCAAACGTCTACAACGCGTTTATCGCTATGGGGCACTGCCGTCGATATAGTAGGGCTCCTCCTTCTGTTCCCTGCATATAAAGTCATTTAGTTACGAAGGGATGGTATGAAAGGACTCTTCCTCCCAGGCTTGAAGTCGTCCATGGCTTCTGATTTTGTTAATGGTGCCTTCAGACTAGGTCTATATCCTGAGGTTAAGGCTTCAATAGCCTCACTCTGGGGCATTTCTCCAACGAGCACGTCCTTGTGTATATTCTCGTCATTCCTCACTGGCGTCGTCGGCTCGTTTTTCGGTAACCCGTTCGACTTGATGAAGATCAGACTGCAATACGAAGCAGGTCTCCTTGGTCCCGACGGTCGCTATCTCACTGGTCGCTGTATTGGCTCTAAACCCACGTATACCTCTATATTGGGAGGAGTGTATTCTCTATTGGGGGAAGGGACCTTCCTTCGAGGAGCCCATGCAACATGCCTTAGAGCTGGCCTCGTGACCTCCGCACAAGTGTTTGGATTTGAGCATACGAAACGTACATGTTCCGAGATTGGTATGGGAGACGGTGCGCTGAAACAAGCCCTGCCCGGCATCATTTCGGGGCTTCTTGCGACAACAGTTGCCGCTCCCGTGGATGTGATCCGAACAAAGCTCATGAGCTTCAATACCTCGTCAACCTCATTAATCGGCAATCTATATATGATCATGAAGAGCGATGGGGTCAGAGGGCTTTTCATAGGTTGGAGTGCAGCTTATATGCGTATTGGCCCCCTGTTTTTCATAAGCTGGCCTCTAATAGGCTTACTTAGAGAGCAGCTTCTGGGGCTACCACCGTTTTAATGTATGTAACCATTCCTGCATGCTCGCAACCAGCTTGGTCTGCGATCTCTTCAAGACTGCACCTTTCCTTCACGTATTATGTATTAGGTATGTCGTTTCCGCAGTATGTGGTTCCCTCTTGATAACATATGTCGACGGGAGGTTAATACGATCTACCCGTTTTGCGTGGAGAATAACTTACATCATATTCTCTACCGTCGAAAATTTCCTCTGGCAGTGTGACACTGCGTAACGCAGAGGAAATTTTCGATGGAAAGTTTTCAAAAAAAAGCACTATTCAGCAAGGAAGGAAGCGGAGCTTAGCTCAGCTCCAGAAACGTCTCATTTAATATGAGCGCCTCGCCAACGCCCTCGAAGCCCACCGTGACATCAAGAGGATGATTGTTGAACTAGTTGAGTGATCCGATGTTTTCATCTGATAACCCGAAACCACAGAAGTTGGTATGGCATCTTTATCACACAGCTGGTCTTCATGTCGTATGCTTGAGGCATGCTCGTCGTAGTCTAGCGCTGCTCCCTCCACCGAGTAGCATGCCAGTACTCGCTATCCCAGTACTCGCTGTAATACACAGCACGAGCAACGTGCTCAGAATCGAGAATTTATCAACGGTGGAACATCACTCATTGCATCGTCGGACACCCAACGTCATATTCGACTGTCAATACCACTTACGGTGCGTACTCGCAACGAGCACCATGAATGCAGTAGTGTGCAAGTGATGACAGGTTTGCCTTTGTACTCTTTTGTATCCATTCCTGGCATCCAGCCTTCCCCCGTCGATTATGGCGAGTCCAGTTCCAAGGGCTCTTCAAAGAAGTACCCATCAAAAGCCATTCCAGCTCCTTGTCCTCACGCCCCACACTTAGACATGTAGCGTAACTACTGTGTTGTCCCTGCTAGAGGTATTGTGTTGTAGGTTGTCTGGTGGACTCGGTGTCGCTACCACAGCAGCATTGCTGAACCCTGTGGAGGTTCTCAAGGTCCGCATGCAGACCAACAAGCCGCCTGTGAGCCTGACGACTATCATGAAGACTACTGTAAGTCAGACCGTATATTCGAAATGAGAGATGCCCAGATGCTGCTCAGGTGAGAAGTGATGGCTTGTGCGGAATCTGGACAACTGGACTCCGATACGTCGCAGTCGCCGAGTTCGTCAATGGTTGTTTACGCATAGGCCTCTACCCATCCATCAAAGCCTTCTATGCCGATGTCTCCGGTCTCAACTCGGCATCTTTTCCGATCATCTTGTCTGCTTCTCTCACCAGTGGCCTTATCGGTGCCTGCTGTACCACGCCTCTTGACCGATTGAAGATCCGTTCCCAATACGAAGGGGGGTTGAAGGGTCCGGACGGACGCTATGTGACTGGTCGGTGTATTGGCAGTAAACCCTCGTTTCATTCTGTTCTTGATGGCCTATCTAAGAACTATGCCAGTGGCGTTCTTTTTAAAGGTGTCGTCGCTACTTGTACTCGTGCCAGTTTGGTGACCAGTGCCCAAATCACAACTTATGAAGTGGCAAAACGTGCCTTGAAGGGCCATGGGTTTGAGGAGGGGCCTCGACTTTCAGCCATGTGTGGTGTTTTAGCTGGGTTAGTAGCCTCTACAGTAGCTGCCCCAGTTGATGTAATTCGAACGAGACTCATGAGCACTGGGGAATACAACAGTGGTATTGAGGGAGCTATAAGAATCCTCAGACAAGAGGGACTCCCAGGACTGTGGAGGGGATGGACGGCTGCCTACATGCGTCTAGGCCCCTTCCTGTTCTTGAGTTGGCCCATTATCGAATCCATACGCCGCCATGGCTTTGGAATCTCCAACTTCTAACCTCATGCTTGGTCCTCTCGACTGCGTTGGAGTGTCAGGTGGGTTATCCATTGTGATTAGTGCCCAAAGCCATCACAAGGTGACATTGCACTGACTGAACCTCAGCTAGTACAAGTATCAGTAATTGCAAGCATGATATGATTATATACGAGTATCTTGATTCGTATATTGACTATTGGCCATTGATGATGCTTTTCTCTCACCGACAATATTGCGGTGTCGTGTTGCCTCGAATGCTACTACTCCTCTACTTGTAAATGTAGCATAAGATTTTCGATCGTATAACCATGGATTCGACCGTGTACACACATCCATACGACTGTAGTTGTGAGCAGTGTTCAAGCCCTAGTAGCCGGCCGAAGCCTCGAGTCATCACCTTTGATCGCCCAACCTCTCAGCAATGCATGCGAGCTAGAGCTGTAAGTCGGCGGCTCCCTCAAGGATCATACAAGTGTCATATCTCGTCTCGGAATATGAATTAATACAGGTTTGAGTGCAATGATCATATGTGGGTCGCTGAGTTCGGTGTTGTAGTACCATGATTGTACCGAAGTCGTTTGTTGGTGCCCCTCAACGTTAGCAGTGCGTCTCAATGAACTGGCGTATGGTTCACCTGTTCATGAGCTCTAGCCATTGACGACCACCCGTAGTCAACCTCGTCACGTCATGCACTGATGAATCTTCAGGTATTCGCGGTCTGGATCGTCTTGGGTCTCGT